TTTTTAAATCTTATTAAACTGAACACCAAGCTTTTGTCAAAAATAAAGCCTTATCTTCGACACACAAATATAACGTGTACTTTATCTTTGATTACAAACAAACAAAGAAACAAAAATTAATAAACAAAGCCAACCACCTAATAAATAATATGTGTCAGTACTGGGTCAATAGTATGTAACAAGCATTACTTTTATTTGTATCAATACTACAGCGAGAATAAAAGTTACTCCTTCTTTCTTTGCGTGAACATTTGGGCGGCATTATGCAAATCTTCCCACATCGTGACGTAGACATGTGGGGGCGTGTTAGAACGAGCCGTTTTAGGTAGGCGTGGTTGACTCTTAACTTTTATAAAGAATACCTCTTTGGATTTGAGACTTTAGTCTTTGCAACTTTACAGATCTTCTTTACGCACCAAGAGCTTGTAACACTCCAAAGAGAAAGGAAAAATTGAAATTGCATCATATGACCCCTTTAAAGAAATGATACCATTCAGGAATTATGATGCAAATGTCCTGGTAGCACATATAAGAGTTTTTAAAGTAATTTCTTAGAGTTCTTAGAATTTTCATAAATGTGCTCTTTGTATTCAAGTTGGAATTATATGGTTTTGAAAAAATGTTTTTGCCATTTTCAATAAAAGTACATTAAATACATTTAATCAAATATCGTATACACTACCGTTCAAAAGTTTGGGGTCGGTAATAAGTCTGAAATAGTGTCACATCATCCTTCAGAAATCATGCTGATATGCTGAATTGGTGTTGAAGAAATTACTCATTACTATTAGTATCAATGCTGAAAACAGTTGTGCTGCTTAATATTTTTGTGGAAAACATGATACATTTTTTTCTGGATTTTTTTTAATGAATATTAGACAGTTCATAAGAAAAACATTAATCTGAAATATTTTTATATTTAATTTTTTTTATATTTAATATTTAATTAATTATTTTTTGCAACAATGTAAAATATGACCATGTAAAATTGTTTTTACAAACATATTTTCCTTTTTTTCTGCATGTTGGTTTTATCTTTCATATGACAAACAAAGGTTTTTCAAATATTTTGATTTTCAAGAAGTAATGGCAAATAATTATGCCAAAATATTTAACACTTTTCAAGAACTTCTTTATTTTAATGAGGCTTTTTTTCTTCCTTATCATCAGGAATGTTGATATCAACGAACCCCAAAAAACATTACAAACAAAATTAATTTGAATTGTATTTAATTTTAAATTAAAAAATGCTCATTGCAAAGGAGTATTCAAGTCATTGTATGAATTGCACTGTAATATATTATTATTGAATAAATTAATAGAACGGACAGATAAATAAGCATCATACACACAGAAACAAAAATAGAGAGCTAAAAGGGAAAACTCTTGTTCAGACCGCCAATTATACAGCTGTGGATGACCAAAATGAAAAGCAGTTTAAAAAAACTATTGGCCATATAACAGAGGTGGGGGGCACCATGCAAATTATTTGGAACTCAGAAAGGCAAAGCAGCCACTTAACAAGCTGACAGCTATCACATATGCAAACACCCATGTGGTAAAGTGCCAATAGAGGAAGTCTTGGCTGGATGAACAGCACATAGCCCTGGTCGTTTTGCAACCACACAAATTCAAGGTAGCTCAACTGAAATGAATGTAGTAAAAATATTTCCAAATAATCATGTAAACAATACACCTTATAGTCTTTCAGCTAAGGGGAATGGTTGGATAGACGTCTTTTGGCTGTGATGGGCTGTTATAACTACAATACACAGAGAAAACTAGTCATACAACTTACTGGAAAATGACAGCGCTACAGATCAATGGTGACTAAGACAACCACATAAGTGTCTGGTTCTCAGAAAAAGTGGCACAGTTCTTGGTGGTTGTGCCTGAAGAAACTACTGTATCAGTAGTTTTAGACTTTATATTGACCTGGAAGCATAAAGTTAGTTTACTAACTAACTAACAGCAGTTAGTTGCCGGTTCACAGTCGTAACTGACGAAAAGCACTACGTTAAATATATTCTTATTAATAATAGTAGCAGTACAATAAAGCTGCTTTGTCTAGAAGACTGGAGTCCCTTGTGAGTATAGTTTGGGGTCAGTAAGATTTCTGAAAGTCTTTTATGCTCATCAAGGCTGCATTTATTTGATCAAAATCAAAATAGTTAAAACAGTAATAAAAAAAAATTATGCAATATTATTACAATTTAAAACAAGTTTTCTGTTTTACTATGTTTTAAAATGTAATTTATTCCTGTGATTGCAAAGCTAAATTTTCATTCCAGTCTTCAGTGTCACATGATCTTTCAGAAATCATTCTAATATATATATATGCTGATTTATGCTGATTAATGTTTTGTGGAAACACTGATATATATATTTTTAGGATTTTTTAATGAGTAGAAAGAACAGCGTCTATTTGAAAAAAAAAATCAGGTAAATATATCTAGTCACTTTTGATCAACTTGATACATCTTTGCTTAGTGCTGCTGTCAACTAACAGATGGATCATAGTAGCATCTTTCATCATATGCACAGGTGTAATGAGTGTCAGTCAAAACAGTGGAGAAGATTAAACCCATTAAAACTACAGGGCAATCAGTTGATTCAGTACATCACTCAAAAGACATAGAAAGCACTGCTTAGTATATGATCGCATGCAGCACCATATTAAACCCAACGTCTAGCCATCCGTGCATGAGGGCAGTCTGACGTTCAAGTTATGTCCCGTTAGATATACAAACATATCTGATACTACGAATAACCAGCCTCGCTCGGCATCTCCAAACTAGATCTAGGCTCTGGGCGTTTGGCTTGAGCTGTTTTGACCCGCGTTAGCCGCTAGCAATGAGCATTGACCAATAATAAACCCGAATATTACTCATCAACCCGTTTGATATCGTCAAAACATTCAAGAAGATACGAAATAAAACGACATGTAACATCGATCAAACTTAGCAGGCTGTATACTGTGCGTGTGTCGCGTTACCTTTCAGTAATGTAAAGCTGAATCGCTCCTGTCTCCGGTGGGACAGAAAATAAGAGCCCAGTTTGGGAAGACTGACAGCGGGGCGGATACATTTCGCCTGGACGGGAGAACAAACTGGATTGGAGGGTTAAGGCAGCGGTACAAACGAAGATGGGCGGGGCGACGTTTGATTGACAGAAGTAGTAGCCTATTGTGAAAGAAGACCCCTCTGCGAACGCACGATATTAACCTTTCGAAGGGGCGGGGTTATATTGAGGTTACATAAAGGGGTCGGTACTAAAAAGGCAGGGATGTGGGTTATTTATAATCCTAACAATAAATATCGCCGTCGGCTATGGCAGTGGCGCTGCTTGATTGAATATGACTGCTGTCCAGGAATAGATATAAAGAAATCCTTGACAACGCATTGATTTTAGGATGTGAATAAGAAAAAACAGTAAGAAGCTATAGAGAATATTAGGCCTATATGATTTCACAAATAGACAGATATTTTACAGCTTCATTTCATATTTTGAATTCTTATTTGTGCTGTGAAACAGGGCCAGGGGTTTGTAAGGGCCTTAGACAAGAGCATGAAAATAAATGAGGCCCAATCAATGTAACAAATAGTTTCTTGGTTTAAAAAGAAAGTATTTGCTTTCAATATGCTTTTAATCACATAGCCTTTTTATGCAGTTCAAACCATGTAAAATATGCAGTAACTTAAATAAAATAAGGTAAAAAATAATAATAATGTAAACTACCCACATAACTGTATGTAAATGTTAAAATGTTTATTTAGTGCAGCAAGAAACTGGTGAAAAACGATGTGCAAGATAGAATGAAAGAACATAAGTTAAAAACAGGTGCAGTTTGAGGGAAAATGAAAACAATCTAACAAAAACAAAAAAAACAAATAAATTTATACATTTAAATAGGTCAAAAATACATCAAAATATACAAATATAAATAACAAATAACACATAAAAATTTAAGTTAGCCTGCAGATTAATTACTATTTTCATCTTCTGATTTCCTCCTCTCTTTTTTAACAGTATTTTTTCTTTTAGCGTTTCTCTAAAAAAGAGATTTTTTTAGCAAGCCTGAGAATTTGCATATATCCGGTATTCAATTTCTCAGCTATGCACCGCGGCATGAATAAATGATGCCGATTACTGTGCGTTTGACTATAGTTTCTGCTTTTAGTTTAGCTATTGTTGAGATATTTCCTGATATTTCCTTTAGTTTCATTTGAAGCCACTAGATGTCAGCGGAGCAATGTTATAGTATAATACTTTCAGCTCCGTGTCATTGAGAAGTGTGAGTTTTGATAAATTCTTTTCTTTTTGAAACCAGTGTATAAACCTAAATTTAGAAATTAGCTATGAATAAAAAAAACGTATTAGATTTTATGAGTGAATAATACAGACACTGTTACCGATTTCAGTCATAAGTGTGTTAAAATAAGGCCATCATATGAATTAGCCTAATAAATAAGAAAAATAGCCGATTACTAAATTAATATTTAAAACATATATGGGTGTTCGGGGGGAAAACACTAAAATGTTATGCTAGTAAAACATTGGTTTGGCACTATTATAGCTGTTCGTTATAATGCCAGTAAAGAGTTATCTGTGACTCAGAGTGAGAGAAAGAGAGAGAGTAAAGCTCCTTTTGGGGCGGAGATTTCCGAGTTTTTAAAGCACATGGCCACACACAGTACAGTTATTCACTCAAACACTAGACTAACGGCTTTACCCGGATTTATCTTAACTTTATCTCATCTCACACAAACTCTTGAGAGGATTCTGCTGGGATCATTCATCTCATTACTGACCATTAGTCGTCTTTGTTTGTAAAAACAATGTAAGGTGAATGAGAAGAAATTATCATCTCTGAACGCCAACAATGACAAAGACAAAAGTTGAGGCAAATCCTGAGGCTAATTCACGCTCATCCCATCATGGACGGGACGGGCAGGAAAAAGCCTGCGGAGACGCGAGCAGCCAGCAGCCGACAAGACAAATCCACCGGCATCATGTGCAACACATGACGTCAAAACAAGCTCAGGCGGACACTTGGTCTAAAATCATCCCAGCAGCCTCACAGAGCAAAGCCAAAGAGCTTCACTCGAAGAAACCAAAGCGTGGAGCATCTGTCACGCCAAACATCCACACGGGGAAAAAAGAGATGAAACCAGAGTCGAGAAAACGTTCCGATAGCAATCGCAGTAAATCGTGCGGGAGGAGAAAGCTGTCGGATGGAAGCATCACGTCTGATGACCTGAGTAAAGACTCTGGCTGCGTTACCGGGAAACTGTCTTCCACGGACAGCAGCTCTGAGATCTCGGACGCATCAGAGGAGCACAAGCAGTCCACTGATGCCCAGTGTGGTGAGGTCTGTCACAGAGGTCCCAACGAAGAGATGATGGACGATTCAGCGGAGCAAATATCAGAACACAGAGAAGAAGATGGTCTGATTAATGCCAACCTGTCTCCAGGGTTTGGCTTCGGAGAGGGAAGCACCTCTCCTGGAGACCAGAGGTCCTACGTTTCTCTGGACAGTCGCTTGAACTTGAGCGCGTCTGTTATATTTTCGGATCTGACTGGAGACTTTGCTGATGGGGTGCATGAGGATCTGCTGAGAGAGATTGACGACCTAAGATCGGAAAATGAATATTTAAAGGTGAGATTTGTTGATTAATCTATTAATTCATTTATTTGATTGTTAATTAATTGCAAATAATCATTTCTTGCATGGTGTAAATTATGCTTGGGAGAGTTCAGGTAAAGTGGGACACATTTCATATTTGCTCTTTAAATATGTAAGTCATTTATAATTGCCATAAGGGTCTTTTGTCATTATGAACATGTTTTATTTCGTCTTGACACCATCATAGTGGGCATGATCAAGCATCTGACTGATCTCAATGAGTGCATATGGAAAATCCACCAAATGAAAACGCTCTTCTGAAACATAAACATTGTAGTTTTTAAAATATGTCTGAATTCAATTACCAAAACAATTTATTGTTGTATAATTGCTTTTAATTATTTGTGAGAGTCTGTTTTAAGTAGATAATGTTAGATAAAGTAGGAGAGTACTAAATGCAACCTGTTTTGATGGATTAAGATTATTAAGCATCAGACTATTATCAGCTAACATGGCATAAACCATGTCATATGATGTGATGGACAATGTACTTAATGTAAAATTAAATTAAAACAATCACACATTGTCTGCTACATGTATAATACATATTTTAACGGTCAAAATAAATTGCACGTGATCTGGCTTATACTGTAAGATTTACTCTCTTCTTAGAAGATTACACTTTCGCTAATTGGCTCTTGTCATCCCTCATTGTCTCTGACATGCAATAGAAGGACGGGTTCACAGTGTGAACGAGACAAGCTTTACTGTGATTAAGTGCAAGGTGTCTCAGCAGAAATCAAGAAGTCAACAGAGGTGCCACCAATGTATCCAAGAAGGGCAGTGCGTCATTCTTGGCACGTGCCACTAGTTCTGTGGGTTAATGCGCACAGCATGCTGGCACTCAACACGTAAGGCCAGTGCAGTGCTGTCATGGATGAGTTGGTTGAAGACTGACATTGATAGTGATATAGGAAACACCCTTTGTACACACTAACACACAAATGCTTTTGACTAAAGTAAAATGCATTCATTTATCTCATGTTTTCCAATCAAAAACTTCCAAAAAGTTTCTAAGACAGTTACGGTGGCTGTAATGCTGCCACATACAGTATGATTCAGTTCTATGAAGTTGATGTTTACATACACCATTTATGACTGCATTTTTAGGATGAAATGGAGGAGCTCCGCTCAGAGATGCTAGAGATGAGGGACATGTACATGGAGGAGGATGTTTACCAGCTGCAGGAACTCCGACAGCAGCTGGAACAGGCCAACAAGGCCTGTCGTATCCTGCAGTACCGACTTAGGAAAGCAGAGAGACGCAGTCTGCGTGTAGCCCAGACGGGACAAGTGGACGGGGAGCTTATCAGGACACTTGAGCATGATATTAGGGTGAGGATGTGCTGCTAACAGTCATAATTTGCTGGTGTTGAGTGTGTTTCTGTGAGAAAGTCCTTGTATAAAGTCACAAAGCATAAAGAGCAATCACTGACATTCAGGGTGTAATTAAATAGATGTTTCCCTCATGATTTGGGTGCAATTAAGCTACAGTGGTGTGTGTACAGGAAAACCACTGTTAGGATTTTGGATGCCGTCCATGGCATTTATGGGACAGGATGTTTATCTAAATTGCTTAACGCTTAGTGCCAATTAAATGTTGAATAGTAAGTCACTAAATGAGTCAAAACTCTGTTTTTATGAATCAGCATGCACTCAGGTGGATTGTGTAATCCTTCCATTGTGGTTTGTGACCCAAATCGTGGCACTAAGGGTTTAGTGAGTGCTGAAACATCATTTTGTTTTATAGTTTGACGTGTATAGTGAGTGGTTTTATTTTTGGAAGTGGTCCAACTAGTAAAATGAGGAGAAAAACCCTCGGTTTTCTCTTTGGCAGACAATTGGTGTTGCTCAGTTTGTGGTGGGCCACTCACAGAATAAGCATTTTTTGGTTTGAACTTCTCAGCCAATCAGCAACAGAGCTTTCTGAAGGAACGTTACAAATTAAAAATCAATCTACACAGCAGGACAACCCATATAAAAGGGCTGTTTTCTTTTGAAATCTGCTTCCAGACTATGCAAAGCAAATTCCTCAGGTTTCTTCTGAACGTTTTGTCTTTGCTGAATTAAGTGTGAGAATGTATTTCGTAGAAACACAATGTGAAGTATCACTGAAGAATGAAGGTTGAATGAAAGTGTGTGTGCATTTGCATGTGTACAGTATATGTGTCAAGGACTATATAGCCACAAAATCCGAGAGGGAAAGTGTCCAAGCACAGCTGCTGGTGGTGTGTGTTGTGGGCATGCCCATGACCAGTCTATTTTAAAGGCATGTGAGAGAAATAGATACCCTCCTTTCACAAACTGGGCCAGTGTGTGTCCATCGCTGCTCAGAGTCCTCACTAGCACTCTGTCAAGTTATTCAGTCTGCAACAACCCCCATGGGAGAGTC